GGAAGAGGAAGGTTGAAGGGCTCCGGTTTTCTTTGGATTGTTGTTTTTAAAAAGGCGGCTTTTTGAACCAACACTCCCCATTCTTTTCTTGTCTTTTTTTTCTTTCTTTCTTTCCGTTAAGTAATCGTTTTGTATAAAAGGCAAGATCGCCTACTCAGTTTCATTCAACGGTGCCAAGAAATGTTGTTATAAATGAGTCCGCCAACTCTCTTGGAAAGAAGAGGAAGACGCTGCCCGGAAGCCCTGCGAAAAAGTTCATTAGGCCTGTTGCAATCGCGCCCGTACTTTAATCGCAGAGGCCGGGGCTTATTATTTTAATTCTCGGGGTGAGGTGGAGTGGGGGGCGGCGGATAAGGGACCGCCTACCTGGCCTCCCCACCGCCGATCTCCGCCGCGATCCCACCACCACCACCTCCAAACCCGCTCGAATCGCCTCCGAATCATGCTCCAGACGCCCCCGAGTGAGAAGACGAACACTTAAGGGTATTAAACCCGGCATTAAACTTTGATTTGTTTTTGACGAGTCCCAGAGAGGGAGATGTGTGTGCGCGCCAGACACTTAACTACCGTTCGGAGGTGTGAGGGTTCGAGATTTATTAGTAGCCACAGCATCTGGGGCGAGGGGGGGCGGAGAGGGAGCGGTGCCGCTGGTAGTGGGGAGACGATCGGAGGCAGAGGGGCGTCTGGAGACGCCTCGGCCGGCCTTCTCCGGGAAAACGCCCGTCCTTTGCTCCCTGGCTGGGAGAGATTACCTCCTGAGCGGCGGTCCAATGCCCCGGGTGCCGCTCCGTGTAACCGGACCTGGCAATCTGGTTCCAAACGCAAGGGCTTGCCCCCCCCCCAAGCCAAGAAAAGGAACCACCATAAGCGAGGTTGCTGCCCTCCTCCTTTTGCACCATTGCTTCTAAATTAAACAGGTCCGGATTGGGATAAAAGAACATGGGAAAAGGCTGGATCGTGTCCGGAAGAAGGGAAAGGGGGTGTGGGGGGGAATACACACACATATATATACACACACACCACCCCATCTTTCTAAATGGCACCCCGCCCCGAACTCTCGTGGAGCGACGTGTCTTGGCTCGGCTCTACAAGACTCTGCCTTCGGTTTTCGGGGAGCAAGTGCTTGCCTTCCTTTCCTCCTCTTAACAGCTCCTGGTCTGAGTTTGTAGGCTTTGAACACACAAACACACCAGCCCAGCAACGAGAACAACAACAACAACAACAACAAAACCCCGCTCCTCCTGCCTTCCCGCTACTACGAACGCCGCAAGGGCGAGAGAAGACCATTCCCTTTGGTAGATAAGACTGGCTCTAGCAGCTTGTTCAGCGAGTGGGAGTCGGTCTCAGTCGGACCTGTGTATGTGACTGGGCGTGCGGGGGCGCAGAAAGGATAATTGGGAAAGGGTTCACACTGATTCACACGGAACTTTTTAAATCGCCTCACCACCACTCGAACACACACGGATATTCTCTCTCTCTCTCTCTCTCTCTCTCTCTCTCTCAGACACAGACAGACACACACACACATTAGGAGACCGCCCACCGCCTAAGACCCCATAGATTTAAAGAGAGACTGCATTCAGAGCCTGACGTTCATTCAATACGGAGACATAAGTAGGCTGTCTAACTGGCGTGCTCTTTCGGTTCCCTCGTCTTACTACCGCTGCCACCTGAGGTTGCCTTCTGTTTTCGCTGCGGGGGAAATTATTGAGGATGTTAAATCAGAGAATCTTTCCCGGCACGGTTTTACTCCTGATGTTTTTCTGCCAATTCACGGAAGATCAAACAGCAGAGGGTAAGATGCAGTTTATTTCTTTATGGGCAGATGTGCCCTGTCTATCTATCTATCTATCTATCTATCTATCTATCTATCTATCTATCTATCTATCTATCTATCTATCTATCTAATCTCATCAGAGCTCCATTGGATGAATTGACTACGAAAGTAAGGTTGCAACCCTAAACATACATCTTAAGTCTCACTCAACTCACTGGGACTTGAACATTTTGGAGTAAACGCGGGCTTAGGATCGCGCTGTCCGGGCGACTTTGCACTAATATGCAGACGCGATGGGGAAACCCCTGTTTCGTTGGATGCTTTGGGAGGAGGCTAGAGGAAAACATCATCATGACCAACATAATCTTCATTATAGTCTCAGTCACCTTCATCATGATTAGCCCTAATGTTGTCAATAACTTTAATACTATATATCTCAACTTGCATCGTTACCACGCTGCTGCCTGGAGTGCAATGCCTGTTAAGAACTTTTCGGAGTTCGACCACCAAGGATATCTGGTTTCCAATGTGGGTGTGTGGGTGTATTTCCGTTGCTAAAATCGAAGACACCCCCCTCCCCGACGGTCTTGAAGGCATCTTACCCTTGTGGCTCACCCTTCCAGAAGAAAACAGACTTTTCTTCAAGTTTGGAAAATGTTATTTGCGCTCCTGCTCTCCTCTAATGTTATGTCATTCTGTGAGTGGAGCAATCTTAAACGCGTCTATCAGAAGTAAGCTCCACTGAGTGCTATGGTGTTTACTCCAGGTGAATGAATGTGTGTTGGACTGCAGCTTTTGGGGTGCATTTTAAAAAAAATCTAAACACGCATATCTTTAACTTAAAGCGTCCTTCTCCCAACCCCGATAATCGTTCGCAATGGAAACCAGTAGTTTAGGTGACTGAGAAAGTTCTACAGTTCGTTGCTGTTTTATTAATACTGTAATTCTCGCTACCCTGGTACTCTATTTTAATCTTAGGCAGAAGGTAGTGAGTGGAAAGGCGTTCTTAACCGATAGGAGGAGGAGGAGGACAGTGGTGATGGTGGTGGTGGTGATGATGTTTACTAATTATTATGACTATTCAATGGGTTCATTTGGGGCTTGGGGGCGGTATTGGTCCGCTTAATACTTTGTGGTCTAAAGAACCATGATCAGCTCTGAAAGGCTAGAAGAGAAGATGCCCCTTTGGTGAATCACACAAGGACCTCATCCCAACCCAAACCTCTAAATTATCTCAAGGATCAGAGGCGGCGGAGCAGAACAGTGTTCTTGGTTCGGATCCATCCACCATAGACAAGCTGCGGTGTCGGTTTGTGAAACCCCCGTTGCTTCCCCTTCCCCGCTCACTCTCTCCAAAGCCCGTGCAAGTTGGTCGGGCTTCTTCCCTGACGCTCTCCCCCCCCCCCTTGTGTCTGCGAACCCCGACTGATGGTGTGCTCGGGCGCTCTGCTGGATCGGTCACCGAGCCCCGCGTTATTTCACTTGCGGAAATCAGCCCCCCCCGCAAAAAAATTTTTTTTAAGATTTCGAAAGAGTGGGGTTACTACTCCTGGGCGCGCATGACCAAATCCTATACTGTGAGGTGGGGAAACGGCAAGGGGTGGGGAGTGCGGGCTGTAGCATGCGCTTGGCAGAGGTCCCGTCCGTTTTGTTGTACAAACTTTCCTTTATTTATTACGTGCAAAGAAAGGAGTTGAGTTCCTAGGGGTGGAAGAATGGGGGGGGCGGACGGGGAGGGTGCGTCTGTCTTTTTCTTTCTTTCCATCTCCCCCGCCCGCTCTCTTTCATAGACTCCAGCTCTTATTTCCAAACCTTGTCACGTGCAGTCAAGCGCGCGCGGCCCCCCCACCTCCCAGCCCGTCACCAGACCCCCCCTCCCTTCCTCCTCCCCACCCAAGGCCACCTGATCAAGCCCTGGGCTGGGTTTGCCAAAGGACTGCAAGGCAATGTCCACCTCCCCCACCAGCTCCCCTACCTTCCCCATTTGGAATGATGGGAAGCGTCAAACTCGTTTGATCAGGTTGTTTGCACAGCGCTTTCCCCCCCTCTTTGGGTCCCGGCAAGTAGCTTCAGGTTATGAAACGGGACGAATAAAAAGTAAACAGTCTAGTAAAAGTCGATGAAAGCCGCACGTGCTATGTCTGGGTCACTGGTAACTGACATTGATATGGCTGGGTCTCTCTCTCTCTCTTTCTCTCTCTCTCTCCCTCCGTCTCTCCTTTTTCTGATCGCAGCTGGGAACTGCTGGCTCCGGCAAGCCAGAAACGGCCGGTGCCAGGTCCTCTACAAAAATGGTCTCAGCAAAGAGGAGTGCTGTAAAACGGGCCGGCTGACCACGTCCTGGACCGAGGAGGACGTCAGCGACCACGTGCTCTTCAAATGGATGATTTTTAGCGGGGGTGCCCCCAACTGCATCCCCTGCAAAGGTGGGTGCATCTCAGGCATCAAGCATGGTGGTTCCCCCTGCCCTGTCTCCTCTGCGCAACTTCCTGTCTGATTACAGTGCTCAGAATTTCTCGGGGTGGGGGTGGGGGATGGCTCTTAAATAGACCAAAAAGTAACTCCCCCAAAGTCTGCTCCAGACAAACTCTCATCAGCTCTAGCCAACAAAGCCAATGATGACTGGTGATGAGAGATGCAGCTNAATAATAATAATAAATGTACTTTCAAGTCAAATGTTGACTTATGACAACCAACACTTTATAGGGTTTTCCTGGTAGAGAATACTCAGGTTTTCCATTCCCTTCTGGCCATTCCCGGGGCTGTGCAGCTTGCCCAAGGCCACACAGGCTAACTCTACTTGCGAGAGGCACAAATTCCCAGTCTCTGGCTCCTTAGCTAGATAGCTAAACCACTAAATGTACTTTCAAGTCAAATGTTGACTTATGACAACCAACACTTTATAGGGTTTTCCTGGTAGAGAATACTCAGGTTTTCCATTCCCTTCTGGCCATTCCCGGGGCTGTGCAGCTTGCCCAAGGCCACACAGGCTAACTCTACTTGCGAGAGGCACAAATTCCCAGTCTCTGGCTCCTTAGCTAGATAGCTAAACCACTGATCTACCAAGTCAGCTATATAGGCATAGAAAGCTGCCCCATACCTCATTGGTTCTTCCAGCCCACAACACATAGTATTGAGGACACTATTTGACAGCGTCTTTCTAAGGTTCCAAACCATTTTTTTCTTAGCCTGCTGACCTGAAAATCATTTCATCCTGGAGACACAAGGGTAAAATGTAGGCTTTTCTTCATGCAAACTTTATTGTTGAGAAATAGCCCCCTCCCCCTAAATAGGAACATTTCTCCCAACTGCAGGCTAGGATATATGAGTCTGTAACAGATTTCAGTTTTGGAATTTTGCAGTGTCAGGAGATCAGTCATGCTACTTATGAAGTAAGATAAAGGACAGGTGAAAGTGCCCTGGCTGTGGAATTCTGGGAGCTGTAGTTTTAAAAAAGCAATCCGTCCTATCATCTAGCAGGATCTTTCCCAGCATTTTATGGCAATTGAACCTATGTGTTTGTTTTTTGTTTTGCATGCATCTTCCTCCCTTCTGCTTATTATAAGAAAAGGTGTTGTTGCTATTTAAAGACATTTCTTGAGGCTCAGAAGTAAACTGCAGTGTATTGCTGCCTAATCTATGAGTCTTGCTTGGGGAAATTAGATTCATATAGAAAGTTACTCTACATAAACCCAGAGGCACCTCGGACATTGTATTTTTTAATAGGCTTTCTGACAATTTTTACCGCCTCAAGAAACAAACATTTAGCACACAATGGCTGAAATCCAGCAGTCAGTCACAACTACAGTAGACTTATTGAATGAATGGAACTTACAGAAGAGGTGACACACCAAATGCCACTGATTCAGTGGGCCTACTTCAGTTTTGACCTGCTACTCAATTACAGCTAGTATTTCCCTAACCATTTCATCTTTCATTGTTGTAAGCTGCCCAGAGACCTTTGGGTAGTGTGGGCGGCATATAAATTAATTAAATAAATAAATCTTGACCAAACTGTCTATTATTCTGGGAATGGCAGGCCAAAAAAGTAACTTTCCCCATCTTTTCTTGTGACTGGAAGCATTCACAGGAGTCTTGGATTCTGAGCCATGCTTAGAAGGAGAAAATTGCAGGGTTGGGAAAGGTTTTTAACATGTTATTCCCATAATCCCCCAGCAGTGCTTGCTGGTAGATTCTGGAAGTTACTGCTCAAAAAAGGTAACTTTTTCGAGAGTAGCAAAAGGATAGCCATTCCACCCCTTTAGCATGTATTTGGAAGGTTTATTATGTGTGTTGCTGTGCTCTGTGTTTGTGTGTGTCCAACCACACAATGTCTTTATTACAAATTAATTAGTGTGAAGTATCCAGATGTGACCTGGTGTCTCTCTGGCATAAGAATAAGGGAATATGTGGGAAGTCTTTATAGCCATATTGAAGCATCCAGCTTAGAAAAGGGAAATGTCCTGTATTCATTTCTGAGTAGAAGTCCTTTCCTGGGAATGGGCTCTTTTCTTATTTTCTGGGTAAACAATAAAATAATACCCTCTCATGTGTTGCCCATGTTTTTTTTTTAAAGTTGTGGTAAGAGTTCTGGATGTTATTAAAACAACCTCTGGGTTTCTGCTCCAACATCCCTCCCCACCCCCACCCGCTCTGTTCTGCTCCTCTCTCAATTTCTCTTCAGAAACCTGTGAGAATGTGGATTGTGGTCCTGGGAAGAAATGTAAAATGAACAAGAAGAACAAGCCTCGGTGTGTCTGTGCTCCGGATTGCTCCAACATCACTTGGAAGGGCCCGGTGTGTGGCTTGGATGGGAAAACCTACAAAAATGAGTGTACCCTCCTGAAAGCCAGATGTAAAGAACAGCCCGAACTGGAAATCCAGTATCAAGGCAAATGCAAAAGTAGGTTTACAACAAAGCTGCTCTCTGTTACAGTGGTGGAGGGTGGTGTCTGCCTGTACAGTAACAATATAGTAAGTATTCTGATACTAACTCACAGACTTTATTCTGATACTAACTCACAGACTTTAGCACAGTGGTGTCCAACCTTGGCCCTCCAGATGTTCTTGGACTTGAATTCCCAGAAATCCTGTCCAGCAGAGGTGGTAGTGAAGGCTTCTGGGAGCTGTAGTCTAAGAACATCTGGAGGCCAAGGTTGGACAAGCCTGCTTTAGCAGAACTACTTTGCAGGAAAACAGGCTGTGAGCTATAGAATAATACAGTATCAAAAATGAGAACACAAGGGAGTGTGAATACTTAAGACAGAAACATCAACAGATAAGCACAGCCTGCTAAATGCAATACCTGTAAATGTCAATAGAATGGAGATCTGATCTGCACTACATGGCAGAGTAAGTTGGTGGAATCCTGAAGTGACAGAGTAGTCTGTATTGGTGTGGATAACAAATGGGGAGAAACACTTTTAAACTAGTCCCCTAACTGGTAAAAAGAAATTGCATCATGAAGAGAAGGAATAAAGGATCTGACCTTTCCCGGCTGAGAAGATTATTGTTGGGGGATTTGGTGGTAGTTATTTTTACACACAAGAACTTTCAAAATATGACCCCCACCCCTCAAATTCACAGAGGTCATTGTACTGTATCACAAAATCCTTCCATTCCACAGCACCAATAGATCAGTCTTACTTACAGGTAAAAAAATGTTCACCACTTAGAGTTAGGGAACGCTACCTTTTGGACAACATATCCCAGAATCCTCTCACACTCTTTTTGGGGAATGAGGAACAGAGTGAGGCTTTGGCAAGGTGCTGTCTATATGAGGAGCTATCCCTCCTCCTCGCTTCCACTGTTTGCCAGCTGCTGCAGAGCAACTGGGAGTGTTTGCTGTTCCTCATCCTTGTTACTATTATCACTTACTTGCCCAAGGGTTAGGAAAGAATGGGTGAAAGAAGCAAAGACAGAAGTAGCAAGGTCAACATGGTCTTGGCAATGGCTTGGACCCTAGTGGGTAGCCAACTTTGCCAAGCATTAACACTGCTCTTGTGTACTGGTATATAGACTAGGTGATCCCCACCTCAGGTCATGATGACAGCTCATGTGCTGTCTAATATATCACAGAACTTGGATAAGTTACTTTTTTGAACAAGCACTCTCAAACCCATCACTATCCAGCCCCAGCCAACATGGAGGATTTTGGGGATCTCAGCCCAATTCCCCCACCTCACCCCAAGTTCTTCCTATTTCCGAGTAGCTTGACATACAGAGATGGGAGAGATTATTTTCTTTAGAATGGGAGTTGCTGTAACTTTTCCAAGTGCTTGGTTATATAAAGTAATTTGAGAGTTATAATGTCGCCTGCTCACTTCCTTTTAGTGTGTTTTCATCACTGTAAATTGCCCAGAATAGTGCATCAGACTAATGGGGCGGTAGACAAACAAACAAACAAACAAACAAATGCACACCTAAACATCTTTATATCAATGTTGTTTGTGCCTCGCTTTGCCTAGTACTAGCTGATGGGGGGGGGAGGTGACTCCTGTTATTCACATATTGTTCTTCTGTGTTTTGTTTCAGAGACCTGTAGGGATGTTTTATGCCCAGGCAGCTCCACATGTGTGGTTGATCAAAATAATAATGCCAACTGTGTCACATGTAATCGGATTTGCCCAGAACCTACCTCCCCGGAACAGTATCTCTGTGGGAATGATGGAATAACGTATGCAAGCGCCTGTCATCTAAGGAAAGCTACTTGCCTACTTGGAAGATCCATTGGCCTCGCCTACGAAGGAAAATGTATCAGTAAGTACTATAATCCACGGAGAAGGGGCTGAGGGAATTCTATGGAGATGTTTATCTGCCTTGGAAGAAAGCTGCACTATCTGATTTTAAATTTCTGCCCTATAAGGTAGAAATAGACATTAAGTGGGATTCTTAATGTTCCCAATAATGTATCTAGTGCAGGGGTAGGTAAGATCAAGGGGTTAAGGGCCAGTTCTCCACCTTGTGTCCTTTTAAGGAGAAAGGCAAGATACAAATGGTTTAAATAAATAAACAATTCTGGGACCATTCTGTCACCTCACGGGTTACACCAGTCCCCTAAAATGACATGATCACTTCCGATTTCATGAAAACATTTTGTTGTGGGAAACAAGGTATACAGGCAGTGTGCATCATGTTTTAAAGGTTCATGCCTTGTTTTTAAAAAGAGTCGTGTTTCTGCAGGAACACCAATTCTATCTCCCCTCCACACCCGCAGTGAAATAAAAACAGAATAAGAACTAGCAAGGCACAATTGTGGGCATTCAAAGGGGTGCGGGGGAGGGGGTCAACAAGTGACATAGCACACACAGCATTATCCTCTGACACCTTGCCATCATTCCTCACTCACAGCATTTATTTGAGGCAACCACATCACTCTACGACATAGCTGGACTGGTTCTGGGAAAATCAGGAGGTGGATGAAGTATTTTACTCTTTCTGCGATTTAACACACACACACACACACACACACCACTGCCCCCAAGCCATTTTAACTGATATCTTCGTACCTTTTTATACACTCCCAGTCTCATTCTGCTACCCACAAATCAGCTCCCAAATATTTTCTACCTAATTTCTTGGTAAATGAAAATTTAGGAAGATGGGTTCTCCCAGAGATCTATACAGTTCAGCCTCTTTTCAAATTTGTAAGGAAAGAATAATAAGTAGAATATAGAGAGGAGTTGACTCACCAAATCCCCACTGATTTAATGGGCCTACTCTAGTTGTGAGCTACTAGCAGATTTCAGTTGCTGGTTGTTTGTAGAAGAATGTAGAGAATAGTTATGTGAAGCCCATTCTCTGGGTTCTCTGAAAATGTTAAATATTACTATTTCAGAGCTTGGAAAAACGATGTTTTGAAAGTACAGCTGCTAGAATACCCCAGGCAATGGGGCTGACCAACTGCCCCTGCTGCCTACAAGATTTGGGGGTTATAGTCCAATAAAGAAAGGTTCCAAAGCTTTGCTGTTATTATGATCATAAGGATCATTACACCTTGCTTTATCTCATGGGGAAGCCTGCTAATGGCTATGGGGCAAAAGACATACAAGTTTACCCCATTAGGAATTCAAGAGATAGAAACTACAGGATAAAGCGATCCCCCTGAAAAGATGAGAATGCATGCCCTTTAACAGCAAAAATCAAGAACAGGTATATTTGCTATCACAGGCACATCAGAAAATGGATCCTTCCCCTACACTGAGGTGCAGAGTTCTTAAGATCAGTCAAGTTATTGTGACAGCAGAGGCTGGAAATCATGCAAGCACCTCTCTATAGTAGGATTTGTTTGTTTTAGAACATCAGTTTATATCAGTTTCCAGTCTAGTGGAAACTTTGCCATCCTTCCATGGCATCCAAAATTGTCCAGTACAGTATTTTAGATTGCAACTTCCAATAATCCTCTGGTCAAGCTGACTAGAAATTCTTGGAATTGCCCTGCAGACGAGTAACCTTTCCAAGCTTTAGAAATAGACTGTGTAGGCTCCTAGAGCACAACTCAAGAGCTAGGCCTGGGGGAAGCAACTGTGTGATTGTATTGTGTGAACCTATGGCTGGATGAGTGGAAAAGTTAACCATGGAGGAGAGGGAACTACAGCTGGAGTCAGCCTGAGTGATGATGGGTGTCTGCAGTGGCCATGAGAGTACAAAATAATGTACTGTAATAACTTGTCAGGGAAAATTCCATTTCTCCAAAAGTGAATGAGACATGTTGGAACCGAAAAACCCTCTTTACTTGTTGCTATATAAACAATAAATGTGCTCTGAAACACTTAAAAATCTTTGCATGCATTTTGTAGTTATAATCCTTGCAATGCCCTGTGGGTAGGAGAGGACTATTCTCTCTCCAGCCCTCAGTTTATCTAAGGCCACAAAATGAGTTCATGGCAGAAGTAAGACTGAAACCAGAGATTGTCTGTTTTATCCCACTGTCACTGTTCTGTAGCTGATGAAGGAAATGACCCTCTCCTTACTATTACTATTTGTCATGTATATGTCTCTTTTGATTTGCAAGGTCTTTATATACTTTGCTGTAGTTGGTCTCCATAAATGAGCCATTGGGGCGTTGCTTCCATTTTAAAAATGAGGAAGTAAGGCTAAGAAAAGGAGAGAGTCTTAAGCATAGCTTTTTTTATGAATTTCTGGCAGAGTTTCAACTCACCTGTCTGTTCCAAGACCAGCTCTCTCACAGATGACAATATAAGAGAAGTAGGACTTCAAGGTTTAGTCAGTTAATTGATTTAATAGATCTATGAGGTGATTAATGCTTTCTTTTTTATGCCCTTTCCCCAAAAGGAAAACTTGTTTAGATTAAGGCTGTAGTCCTCCATCTACTTATACAGGAGTCTTTTTCTTTCTTTCTTTCTTTCTTTCTTTCTTTCTTTCTTTCTTTCTTTCTTTCTTTCTTTCTTTCTTTCTTTCTTTCTTTCTTTCTTTCTTTCTTTCTTTCTTTCTACCGGAGCACTGCACAATTAAAAATTATGGATGTATATGAAATATAGGTAAACATTAAAAACATATTAAAATGTAAGAACCGATTGTCATTTATGGTCCTAAAAGGAACGATGAGTCATTTCGTTCATCAGCAAGTTTGCAGTGCAATGTTTCTGGAAGTGAAGGATTCGCCAGCTGCACACTGTTGCCCAGGGGATGCCCAAATGCCCTCACAATGCTTTTCCACTCTTCAGGGAGGCTCCTTACAGGAGTAAGTTGGTTCACTGAACCAATCAGGCTTACTTTTGAATAGATATATATAGAACTGGATCGGTAGCCTGCACACTTATCTGGAAGTACATCCCACTAAATGCATTTAGAATTATCAGAAGATCTGAATGAGTGCACTGTTAATCAAGTCATTGATTTAGCAACTAAATACCTATTACAGTTAATGGATATCAATCATACTTACAATAATATCCACCCACATTAGAGGAGAGGCAAGTGGCAATGTAAATAACAAGGTGGGACAAGCCTTACATGTATGCACCATTATTGTTGATGCTGGAGTTCACATTTTTCTGCTTGAAAAATATAATTTGTTTTACCTATAATTTTTGCCTCTGAGCAAAAGAAAATGTTTGGTCCTCCCTTCCATTCCATCTTCATGGAAACTAGAGATGGGGATGAACCGCTCTGATCAACGACTCCGTGTCCGATCCCCTCTGGCAGATACCTGCACTGCCTCCTCTGGGTGCCACCGCCGAATGGGTGCCCACTGGAAGGGGTGGGACATCAAACCACAGATCAGCTGTTAAACAAAGCATGCTGAACCACCGAACCAGTGGTTCATACCCATCTCTATGAAACCTCTCTTGATTTCACTAACAGTAAAAGAACGGGAGGGGACGATTTCTCCCATCACTTTGTTCTGTGATACCCCGCATTTTGCAGTGGTTACATTAGGAGGTACAGATTCCCTAACACTGTTGCAAAATACAGTTTTTTCCCATTTATGTGCAAGATGGGACAAACTATATTTCCTAATGTCATCAGGCATGCAACTGTAGCAGTGTGTCAGAAAGCAGCGAGAGGATATGGGAGACAGTCAAAGCTCCTTTCCATCATTCCCTACTGCTGCCCATACAGCAGCAATAAACATAGAGGGGATAAGAAATTGGTAGGGAAGAGATTAGAGGTTCACCAAAAGGGGATGGAAGAGTGATCAGTCCCGTCATGCTCTCACTTGACATTATTAGACTTAGAATTGGAATAACTCTCCTCCTCTTCCTCAAGCCCAATTCAGAACATGATTAGTAATAGGTTTCTCCATCTTTAATAATAAAGGGGAATGTGTGCCTGTGTCTGGTTCCATCATATTTCCAAGACCCTGAAACCTGATATACGTAATAGAGAATTCCTAAGGATGTACATCACAAGCTTATTTTCTTTTAAAAACTTTGTACTGTAATTCATTTCAGTTCATTAAAATCTGACTGTAGTACCAACTCCAGTCCCTAGATGGCAAACATCCCAAACCAGAAAATATGAGGGCAGTCAGAAGTAGGATTTTCATCCTTCTGAAGCAACGGGTCTGTAGAGGGCTTATAGACAGCACCAAGTGATGCTTCTCTCTCCAGGGCTCCCAGAATCTTCACATGACTAAGAGGAAGTGTTTCTGCTTCTTGCAAGGACAGTGTCAGGGAAATGAGTGTGAAGGCTGAATGAGCTCTAAAGTAGTATGAGAGACCACCAAGAAAGAAAAAGAATTAGAAAAACAAGAAAGACTACGAAATTTCTAACACAAACTGCTAATAAGCAACATCAGCACTGGTAGAGAGTATCACACAGACTGTTTTTACCAGTAACATGTAGATCAGGCTCTGTATTTCTGTATTGTAGTATTTATGTGCTGCAGGGTCAGAAGACCAACAGTCGTAAGATTGAATCCACGCGACTGAGTGAGTGCCCGTCGCTTGTCCCAGCTCCTGCCAACCTAGCGGTTCGAAAGCATGCAAATGCAACTAGATAAATAGGAACCACCTAGGTGGGAAGGTAACAACATTCCGTGTCTAAGTCGCACTGGCCATGTGACCACGGAAAATCGTCTTCGGACAAAATGCTGGCTCTATGGCTTGGAAATGGGGATAAGCACCGCCCCCTAGAGTCGAACACGACTGGACAAAAATTGTCAAGGGGAACCTTTACCTTTACCTTTTTATCCATGTTCACAAGTGACACATTCCAGACTCATATCTATGGAACTGTATTGTGTAAAGACTGATCTGAGCAATTTGTTTTGAGTGGATATTGGTACAAATGAGTGAATGTCTTGTAGTGTCTAGAACAGAACATTTAAATGTGTGAAGGACAAATCCAAAGCATTGCTCTGCTCAGGAATGAAGCTCATCACTCAGTCTTGGAGATAACACCCAACCTAAATTTAGCCTAACCTAAAAGGACTATTGCCAGTCTGAGATCTTCCTCTTGCAAACAGTAATTGAAGTGTAAATCTGGAGTAGGATTATGGCAGTTCAGACTGCAGATCTGGGTTCATATGTTTGAATGCTCCCTCATATTAATAAGTGAGATGCATGCAAATAAAATTAGAATGTCAGGGGAAAGCTAGGCTACAAGTCTTCTTTCTAATATCTGCAGGCACTTTTAAAATTTTATTTGTGTTTGGGGCAGGGAGAGATAGGGATTCAGTTTTCTTTTCTTGAAACTTTTATTCATGGGTGTGAATAAAAGAGTTGTATTTTGCACAAAAAGCTTGTATTTTGCACAAAATGTGAGGGTTTTTGCATAAAATTCAAGTTTTGTGCAAAATATGGAAGTTCTGGAGTTTGTTTTTTTAACTGATGCTGCTGTAGACAAAAAAAAATCTGTTATTTTTGCTCTTGAGTGGGGATGAAATAGCTCACAGCAGTTGACAGCTTTTTTGAGAGGGTATATCAATGTGCTGAGACATCCTTTGTGTGTCAAGTGATGTGAGCTATTCCTTACATCCTTAGAGGGAAAGCTTTCAATCACATCAGCCCATATGTGTAATCTGGCAGTGATACAGTACAGTACAATTTCATCTGCTATTTGTCAGGACTAAGCAATAAAGGCAAGTCTGAGCTGGTAGAAAGAAGATCAGGGCAAAGTAGTAACACTTGAGCAGGCATTCAAATTTCCCAAGTGGGACAAATGTATAAAGGTGTTTTCCAAGCTACTGGGAACTTTTACAGAAAATGAGGAAGATGTTATTGTCTGGAGACAAGTCCAGAAACATTCTTGCTTCCTTTCCTACTCTGCCTCATGCAACCGAAATATATTTTTCACTTGCCTTCTTTTATTATGTCATAGTGCCGTCAAACCTGATGGATTACATAGAGCTGTGATGCTGTTAATTATGTAATGCCTGGGCAGCTAGGAATACACAAGCGATTAATCTGGAAAGGAGGAAGAAAGCCAAGGGAAAGGGTGCCAAAAAAAAAAACACCATAGTAGCCAAGCAAAATGTGATCAGAAAATGCAGATTTTTTAAGTAGAAAGTTCCATTTTACTGAAACTGCTGCTTTTTAATTCTAATATAGAGAAAACAGCTCTTGCATAACACATACAGTTTCTCATGTGCCACACCAAAACTACTTCACAGTAGATGAAAAATGCTAAAATATACAAGTTATTTTTGAAAAAGTGAGCAGGAATGTACTCCTGGAGTCCTGAGATCCAGATATTTGTCAGGAAAGCACTATGTTGAATCCAGTTAACAATTATTGGGGGAGAATCTTTGGCCTCAGTTCCATTAGAACTCTCTGACACTTAATGATTCCAGCTCTTTGTAGAAGTTTTCAGACCACATGAATTCATTATACAAGTCAAATAGATTCCAAAGGAAACCTCTGCCTAAGCAAGCGTTCTTAGAAAATATTTTTACATTTAAAACAATTTTGTCTATTAACTGAAACCTCATAAAATTTTGGACACATTGTTATAAAGGAAGCCTTCTGAAACCACAACCATTTAAATGAAATCAAGCATAAAGAAGATTCTTTGTTGGGGTTTGGGTTGAGCCCTCTAAAAATGAGTGTCAATTTTTGTTTGTTTTTTGTTTGGGTTGGGTTGGGTTTGTTTGATTTGGTTAGTTGGTTGGTTTTTGTTTTTTTCAATTCTCTTTGGTTTCAAGGACTTAAGCAGAAATCAGTGAGGATATAAAATAACTTTGGCTGAATCATTCCTTAAGCTAGTTTCTTCCTATACTGTAAGATACAGCTATCTAGTTGGCTGGTAGCTTATTCCCAGCTGTTTCATTACAGTCAACATGATGATTATACAGATGGATTTTTTAAAAAATCTTACTAATTTGGCAATGTATTGCCAATTATAAATGTACTCAGTTAATTGATGTAAACAATTTAGAAAATTAATGTGGTGACAATCCTGAACTAGGTTTGTTAAATTATTACCTCCTCCTCCTCCTCCAAAAACTATTGAAAACATAAAAGATTCACAGATGGATTTTGGTATTAGTGTTCTGTTCCTGCAACAGTGTCTACTTAATCAGATGCATGTAACACTATCTTCAGCTGGCCAGGAATAGACAGAAAAATAAGGTAACCATTTATTATTTTATTTATTTTATACAAATATTTTACCTCACCATTCTCCTTAAAAGGATCCAAGGTGGTGTACTACAATTAAAAGACAATATTTAAAAACTAAAAAACAGTGAGTGTACAAATATGAAAAAGGAAATATTTTAAATGGTCAATAAAATCAATACTAAAAATATATTAAAAACAATAGAGCACAACAAACCATTTTTAAGAGCTTGAAACGAGTGACAGAGAAGGCCCTCCCTCTTCAACCATGAAACTGAAAGATCTTATCATGCAGGGGGTACAGGTTGTCACATTTTTGTTCAAATTTACATGCTTATAAAATAATCCAATATGGCCTAAGGCAAAGAATGAGATGGCACCATGTTTTGTCTCATACAGTATACAAAAGCTGACTGTCTAGGTCAGTGATTCTCATCCTTGGATCTCCAGAAATTCTTAGACTAAAACTCCCAGAAGCCTTCATCACTAGCTGTGCTGACCAGGATTTCTGGGAGCTGTAGTCCAGGAACATCTGGGGATCCAATGTTGGGAACAACTGGTCTAGGCCAACTTAGTATTTGGAGGGAAAGCTATGTGGCACACAATAATGCCATCAAAGAGACTATGGAAGAACCGCTGTGGTGCTGACACTGCTTCTCAGAATTTGGTCTCTTTATTGGTGGAGATGGCCCTGACATAAACACAATGAGCATTTGCAGCAGGAGTAACTGAGGGGAAAAAACACTTCCCCTGGTGTTATTATACTAAAATGACACCAGTGATGAGAAACAAATTCCCATTTGGTCAGTTGATGCCCTTGTTGTATCACAGTAGGCTACAAAAGCATATTTTCCAAATGCCTTAGGAGGTTTGCCTTACGGTATCTGGGTCTTCTGCCATTTATTTTTTAAGTGAGGGTGATGGTGCACTTCCGATGTTACAAAATGCATTTTCCCTCCAGGAAAAGAAACAAGTATGGCTTTTCTCCCTCCTCTGCCTACCTTTCCCTTAGGAACCCCTGTTCTGTTATTTTGGCCCCCTCCCGTGTTTTCAAGATGAAGGAGAGAGTTCTTTGTAGTAAAAATTAATGGTGTATAATATTGTGCCAGTGCTGGCAGCTGAGCTGACCAGTGTCAACTCATCAGCTTGTGGGGGAATGGTTGTACTGGCAGAAGTCCACTTCTCCTGACCTCGAAAAGTTGTGTTTCGCAAGAAGTCATGTAGTCCAGTTCTAAGTATGTTTACTCTGGGGTAATTAATTCCTTACAGGCTTCGTTCCTACTTGCCCACTTAAATAGCAGAAATGAGGGGAAGGGGAGTGAACAGATTATATTTCGGTCATTTTGAAGGTTAAAAAGGAGGTACAACAGTCAGTGCTATCCTATGCATTCTCTTTTGCACTTAATCACACACACACACACATTCTCTCTCTGTCTGTGTCTGTGTGTGTGTGTGTGTTCAGGGCGTACTTATTTCAACACTGGCAATAAGATAGGCCCATTGTCATTTCTTGTTACTGCAGCTAAAGTAACTTTATGGCCTTAGAACACAGGGATGACTTTTAAGCTCCACCACCAACAAAAACTAAGCAGAATAGGAGGCCCAGGCTCTTTTGCCTTGCGCCTCATATTTCTCAGTCGCATTTACAGAAAACACTCCCGTCTTTGAGCTGAAAATTTCAGCTGTCTCCACAAACAAATTTCATCAGTGGTGCTCAAGAACCTACCATCTGCCACAAAACCAAGAGACAACTTGTGACTTCTGGAGCCCTAATCCCTCTCTCACACGCAAACCACCTCCTGATACCAGGACTAGCTTGCTATTTTCTCTTGCCTGTGACAGAGGACATGATGGCAGTCTTTTCTAGATACAGACACCAAGAGGAAGCACAGCTCAACACTGTCAATGGGACATCATATTCCACAACACTCAAGAACAGAGGCTGGCTATGGGGAAGCTTGCTCATCAAGCTGCACAACACATACAGCCTAATGGGGTAGGGATGAAAAAGTCTGAGGTGTTCTCCCACTGTCAACAGAATCACTTCCATCTGAGGCAGTTTATTTGTTTGTTTGTTTGTTTGTTTGTTTGTTTGTTTGATTTATTTGATTTATATGCCGCCCACTCTACCCAAAGGTCTCTGGGCGGCTTACAACAATTAAAATTCAATGCAATAAAATATAAAATGATTAAAATACAATTAAAATACGATTAAAATACAATTAAAATTGCCATCATCAAGACCCACAGTCAATGTTATTTCAATTAAAAGCCTTCTGGAACAGGAAGGTTTTGACCTGGCGCTGAAATATCATCAGTGTCGGCGCCAGACGAATTTCAGTCGGGAGGGCGTTCCATAGTAGTCTGGGGGCAGCTGCCGAGAAGGCCCTTTGTCTACAAGCCGTCCCTCTTACCTCCTTGAGGGACGGCTCTTTCAAAAGGGCCCCCTGACTAGATCTTAACAGCCGGGTAGGCTCATATGGAAGGAGGCGGTCCTTCAAGTATCCAGGGCCCAAGCCTATGCTACCTAATGGAAGGGCTAGACGTCCCTGTTGTCAGCAAGAGATTATTGATTGTTATTTTGATTCTTGCTTGTCCTTTTCTTTGTTTCCCTTACCTCTGCCTTCCTTCCTTTCCCTTAAAAAATGAAAATGTTTTCTAGAGGCCAAATCCTGTGAAGACATCCAATGCAGCACTGGGAAGAAATGTTTGTGGGATTTTAAAGTGGGCAGAGGACGGTGTGCCCTTTGTGATGAGCTGTGCCCTGAAAGCAAATCAGATGAAGCCGTCTGTGCCAGCGATAACACCACTTACCCAAGCGAGTGCGCCATGAAGGAAGCAGCCTGTTCCCTGGGCGTGCTTTTGGAAGTAAAGCACCCAGGATCTTGCAACTGTAAGTGAGATTTTTAACTTTGCCAAGAACATTAATCTTCTGAAGGCCAAAAAACAAAACAAAGCAAAACCCAACCACCAAACTCTAGAATAGTGAAGATTGACGCTGTTAGTGAACCTGAAAGGGAACTGCATATAAGGGAGATCTTATATAGAAAGATTGTATCTATTATACGGACATCTTGTGCTTGCTATAATGCAATGGATAGTCAACAGTGAATGTTTCGGGGTGCCTTTTCTCATTATAGGATAGGGTTTGTTTAACACCAGAGGGTTGCCTTAAATGCATCTTTTTAGCTATTTCCTGCCCTCTCCCCTTAATATTGTTTGCTTAAGTGTGCATTGCTGTTTGCTATATTAACACTCGGGCTACAACCTAATCGCACCCTCCCTCCAAACCCTTCTTCCACCCCCACCCCACCCCACCCCGAAACTAGCTTAACACTTAACCATGTGGGCTACTGTCATATTGCAGTTGCCTTTGAATGAAGGACTCAAAAAAAAAAAAAGAAGCAATTTAAAGACCTAGAACACAAGAGCACTTTTTATCTAATTTCAGGAATCTGCCAATAAAACCTGAGCCATTGAGTCTTCAGAACTTGCTGCAGTTATGACTTCATAAATTATGTAATGCACACACAGAGAGACACACAAACACACATGCAACAACAGCAACAACAACAAAAACTTTATTGCATAACAGCAGATGCCAAAGCACATCAAGCCACGCTTAAAAACAAATGCAACACTCTCTTATGGCTGTGCAGGGGGCTTTGAACGCATGCACTTAGCTGCTGCTTCGCTGTTGTTGTCCGTATTTAAACAACAGCTCCCCTGTATTCTCCTATCTAGCCATTAATGAAGATCCTGAGGACGAGGAAGAAGAGGATGACCAGGACTACAGCTTTCCTATATCTTCCATTCTAGAGTGGTAAAACTTCCATCCCTTTTGGAACAGCCATTGGGCAAGAAATACAAATGTCCATACTGTACATACGTGTATGCTTATTTATTTGGGGAAGAAAAAAGTATACATATAGTTGGATCTTGTAGACATTTATTTATACTGTGTCATGTTTTATAATTTATACATAAAATGTCTGATTGACTGTACACCTTTTTTTGGAAGAAATTTAATCGTTATGGGATGAGCAGTGTTATTTATTGTGAGGTCTCTTGCTTGTAAAGTAAAGCTTTTTTTTTTCTTGTAAACTATAAATCCATTCCTTAGAGCTTAACCCCTCTCCTGGTCACAATTCTCATCTCCTTGTTTTTGCTGACGTTAACTCTTTTCCACTTTAACAAACATTGCATGTCAGTTTCTGTTACATTCTTATTTATTGCATTTTTTTCTTGCCGGTTCTGTACATACATACATAATCCCTTGGATATTTGTTTACAAGGAATCTTGACTGACCAAAAGGCGCTGTAAACTGACTTAACTATATATTTGGGGTGCATTGAGGCCATCTCTAAGAAAACCTCTTCCCCTTGGTTATGTTCTTCTTTTGATTGTACTAAGGTGATCTCAAAGTACTGGACATTTATACTGTACTATGAGAATCCAGACCCAAAGATTGGATTATGAAGGCTGTTAATAGCTATAGTATGTTGCTAAATGCCATGAGAGCATTTTTCAAACAAACAAGCATTGTCACAAACATCAGTGTTTCTACCAGGTCTGTCTTTACCACAGTTCCATTGTTTAAAAAAAAAAACGTTTATTTCTCATTCAAAAAGTTCACAGATTATTATATCAAAGCTTTATCAGTTCAAGTTTCTTGATTTTCATAATACTTTTTTTCTGAGGCAATTTTATATTTTCAAACATGGCGAGTTAAATATAAATTCATTTAAATATATAGTTTTGTACTTTTCTACCATGTAAATGTGCAATGTATATAAAAGTTATAATGTGTATTTGTAAATAAATTATGAGTGAAAAAAAATAAAAAACGGATTTCTCTCCCACTTATACATATATGACCTACATACGTATATAGGCTTTGATTGCTGTTTGCTTTATGTCACTGCCAGGTATGTTTTTTTTTAACATGGAGAAGGTTGTTTCTTGAATCATGACTTTCAATGGATTCAGAACAAGCAGAGAATTATTTCATGTCCCACAGCATGCTTTGAAGGTGCATAGTAACTTTGCTAAAGCAAAGCAAGTATAACTTTGCTTAGTCTCTGAACAGAAGACCAGGAGTAAACTAGATTGCATGATACTTTCCACTTCTGTGATTATGAAAGAAAGGTGGAATTCAAGATGGCATATGATGGTATACAATAAGATGAAGAGGTAAAAAAATACCCCCAAATCTAAAACCACTAAAGGATGGGCTCCATCAAAGAGTGGGTCTAGATCAGTTCTGAATTTATACATTTACTTGGACACCTACGGTGAGTAGCAGTACCCTGCATAAGACCAGGCAGAGAAGATGTCATAAGCAGAAAAACAGTGGTGGTGATTAGCTTTCAAGCATGGAAGTAGGCTAGTAAAGTTTCTTGAGCGCTAGTGACTTTGGTAGACTAAGTTGCATGGCTACAATATTTACTCCAGGGCTAGTCAGCATCATAGTGAATTTCACAGCTTCCTACTCCCAGCTATGTTACCTATAAAAATGTTCAATTTTACCCCATGAGGCTACATTAGTGGTGAACACTGCCAGAGACGGGAGCAAAACTGTGATGGCACAAATTCACATAGTGCATTCCCATAGTAGGAAATTGCTATGGAGATTAGCATCCTTCCATCACAAGATAAAGACCTGCTCCAAGCCATACTACACCTGAGGAAATTAAATCTGAACCTCAACAAAATGATGTGGTTTTAAAAAAAAAAGAGGATCAGAAGTAATGTAGGAAAAAAGGGACCAAAAAAAGTTCTTTGTTGTCTAAAAAAGTGCTCAAGAACCAACTGTTTGTCCTTTTTGTCTATCACATATTCATCCTTAATGGATTCCTTAAAGGAACATTCTCAACAGCAGCACTGTAAATATTTTTATTTTGGTGTAAATACATTTTTAGAGTCTAGAAGACTCTACCCCAACTTCATTTCAGTGTCCCATATCGAGATATTGGTGAACTGATTTAATGCAGATGTTAGGGCGGTGATTCCTAGCCTTGGGTGAGCCACGTGTTCTTGGACTGCAACTCCCTGAAACGCTGGCCAACACAGCTGGTGGTGAAGGCTTCTGGAAATTGTAACACTGGTCTACTCACAGTTGGGAACTACTGGATTAGAGTGTTGGAGTAGCAGCAGTTCAAAGTCCCATTCCACCATAAAACTAATCTTGGGCCAGACACCTTCCCTCAGACCAGCCTAACTCACAGGGTTGTTGTGGGGATAAAATGAGTGTCAGAGCAGGGGATAAGACTCACACGTATCACCTTGATCTCCTTGGAAATAAGATACGAATATAGCAACCAAATGCTATAATATCACCACCCCTCTTCCATCCTCCTGTCAAACCTATAAAACCTCAGTGCAGTTGCAGGCTTACTCTGAAGTTCTGGGAACCCACCCTCTCAACACTAAAAATATAGTAACAATTTTATTTGCTGCCCTTTTGTAACAAATCTGGCGCCTGATGTGACTGCCTCATTCTGCCTAACAAGTATCTGCCCCAATTTAATCCAGCATCCTGTTTCCAACAGTGAATGAGCATATCTTTCAAGGAAACCAACAGTTGGGAACTGAAAGCTTTATTTTCTGTGTCACTCTGCATGTTTTGGAAGCAATGCACATTGCTTCCAAATTCTGAAGACTGCATATAGTCATCATGACCAGCAGCCATGACTTTATATGACCTCCCCTTTAAGATGGCTAAAATTGTGTTGATAATTATCATCTTGTGACATCTTACAATACAGTAATTCTATGTTTTATGTGGATGTCCTTTCTTTTTTCTGTTCTGGATCTCCTGCCACTCAGTTTGCACTGATTATGACCACAATTTCTTGTGGCACAGAGTTTGGGGACATTCCACAAGTGACTGTTTCCATTTAATATATAGTGCATGTAGAGGCACTTTACAGAAGAACATATGTTGGTAAGAAAACTGATCATGCTGAGAACTGTAGGCCATAGATCACAGAACAGTAATCCAAGAAAGGATCTTTTCCGAACTTTGAAGCAGAGCGATATTTTGAGGAGTTTACCATCTCTAACAGTCTAATTCCAAATTTGCTTAATCAGAAAAAAAGACTTGTCAGTGACAGTGACTGTGACTCCATTTTAAGTGTGCATGTGATGGTAGTCTAAATTATGCAGTCCATTCCATTATGCAAACCTTTTCTGCATCCGAAAACAAAGCATTGGGGTTTGGGTAAGAACCTTGGAGCTTGTGGAAACATTGCCTCAATCAAACCCTGGACAAGGTTCTCATTTGGAAAAAACTTCCAGAATAGTACTTCAAAAAAGTAACTTCTCATCTCTGAACTGCTTGGGGCATGCTAATATGGTACAGCTCTGGTAGGTCCTTTTTCAGTCTGGATGCAGGATTCACAACTCTTGGACACTAAGCTACAGTGAGGAAGAACAAGAGCAAAAAATCTACCATATTTTTTTCCGTGTATAAAATGACACATTTTCCTAAAATAATTATAGGAAAATTGAGTGTTGTTTTATACACAGAAGGAAGCAGTCGCGTGCGTGCTTGGGCGCCTCTTCCTGCTGCCGCTGCTGCCCAATTGCCTCTTCCAGAGCTCATGGCTTGTCCCCTCTGGTGGCCCCAAGGCGGCAGCAGCAGGAGGCAGAGGCAAAGGAGCATTCACATGCGCTTGGGCACCTCTTGCTGCTGCCTTCCCAGCCCATCTGATCACCACCTCCACTGAGACTGAGGGGCTCAGCTCCCATTGCCGCCTTGTCCCCTCCGGTGGTGGGGGCAGGAGGAGGCAGAGGCGGAGGCAATCAAACACCAACGCGCACTCGGGTGCCTCTTCCTGCCGCCGCTGCCAGATCACCTCCTTCCACAATCTCCTCAGGGCAGGGGACAAGGCAGCAACATGAGTTGGAGGTGAGCCACGGCAGTCGCACTGGAGGAGGCAATCGGGCGAGCAGCAGAGACAGCAGCAGCAGGAGATGGAGGTGGAGGAGCAGTTGCCCATTAAATGCTCCTCTGATTGCTCCTCCATCAAGGGTCAAAATTAGGGGGGCATTTTATACATTGGGGGGTCGTATACATGGTAAAAATATGGTACTTCCTGTCAGGCTCAGAGAGTGAGAGGAATGGCCAAGACTGGCCCATCTATTAGGTAGAGTGAAGCAACTGCCTCAGGCACATGATGAGGTGCCAAAGTAACAGAATCCTGGGCTCTTAAACCAGCTTCCCTACCTCAGGTAAAATGGAGAGCACTTTCTGCATTGCCAGAGTTGAGGTGAGATTTAGCTGCTTGTCCAGCTACTTTCTGTACATGTAATGTGGATCATATGCCAACACAAGTTTCATTTGCAAATATGATTATGCAGGCACAAAGGTATGTGTGGATCTCATTTCTGGAAGACTAACGTGATTTCAACATGTGACAGTATACTACTGATAGCAGCTAGTTTGATCTGTGCTAGAGTTATCTGCAATCCTTATTTGATTCTTAGCTCAAAAGTTGCTCTGTTCTGTTTCTGAAGAGTAATGATGCAGACAGAAGAGGACACTGACAGAAAGAAAACCCTTCTCTTCCAAAAGATATTAAGGCAAACAAGTCAGAAAGTCTTCCCCCCAACTCTCATTCATTCCCCTTCCCCCATATTTTACATATCTCTTATTTGTTCAAAGTACAGCACGCAAATTAAAACTTCACCCTGCTTGACCACAACAAATGATACTGAACTGAGCTGAGCTGCAACTTTATCCAATGAGCATTTCAATATTTCATAGTCCTCTTGGCCACACGGAGGTGGATGAATAAATCCCAAAGAGAAGGGGGAAATATGCATGAAAGTCTATGGCAACTGAGTACTAGCAAAAAAAAGATTCTGCCGGAGAAAAAGTAACATTCATTTCAGGGTACAGTTTGCATTGCATTGTATAGAACTAAACATGCATTGTGAAATTTCACATGGCTTTCATTCATTCATTCATTCATTCATTCATTCATTCATTCCTTCCTTCCTTCATTCATTCATTCACTTTGTATACCACCCCATTAGGGCAAACGCTCTTTGGGTGGTTCATAACACATCAAATCACTTTAAAATCAACAATACAAAATACCACAAAATAAATAAATAAAACCCTGTCACTAGCTTTTTAAAAAAACAAACAAACCCAACTTTGAATAGAATTAAACAAATTTAAAACAAATTTGGACATCTCAGGTCAGTGGTTAAAAGCACTAAAAGGCAGCTTTTTAAAAAAATCTGTTTTTGCTAATTTCCTAAAAACTGGGATGGGTGGCATCTGACAAACCTCTGTTGGAAGCTTGTTCCAGTAGGAAGGAGCCACAGCCCAGGAAAGCACAGTTTCTTGTGTTAGCTCTTTAGTAGAACGTTTTGATGCAGAACAATACATACTTGTGAAATGCCAGTGTAAGGTCTTTGAAAGTAAGACATCCATAAGAGTTAATGACAAATTCAGTGTTTATTTAAGTATGAATTAAGTATGAATTGTATGAATATACAATCACTAGTAAAACTTGTAAACTAGTAAAACATGTGATTTTGAAGTTTTTTTTCTAGAATTAAAGCTGGTTACATTAGAAGCAATAGTGGGGTGGGAGCTGATAATTAATGTGGTCTCTATCAAGGAAAAGAATAAAAGAAGAGAAAGTTTGTAGAGTTACAGATAAAACACAAAGGGGATATTGTGTGTAATAAATGCTAATATGCAGGGAATTCTGAAGGTGATGTTAATGCTCCCAAGTGAAAGACAACACACCCTCCATCAAAATTAAATAAATATACCCTAAACAGAAAAAAACAAGACAAAAATGAAAAAAAGAAGACTGCTTG